CCCCCCCCACTTTCCATATATGAGCAATGACTTTACCTCCTGAAGCTTTAAGTTTTCCATCTGAGAATTAGGGCTGATGCCAATAATTTCTACTTCACAGGTTTGTGATGTTAAATGAAGAAAGTTAGTAAAATAGCAGATTCCTCTAGTCTGCACCGCTGGCCTTTCTTTGGGTGAATAAATAATTACTGAGAATCTTTGGTGTCTGACCCTGAGTATCGGAGAAGATGGGGCTTAAGGGAGTTGGGAAGGATACTAAGTGTTAGAGAGAGAAAAGAGAGGGAGGTATTGGGGGTTGAAAATTTTAAAAAATGGTAACAAATGTTGACAAAAGTAAAGCACAGCATGATGAAAACAAGGCAGGACAGAGTTTAGGAAACATGGAGCAATACATACAATTAAGGAGGCTCCCTTACAGGCCGGCAAACCTGGCAATATACTGGCGAGGGTGAGGAAGCCAGAAATACAGAAGCTATCCCTGAATATTTACCTTTTAAGTGGAACGACAATACTTACAACCCTTGCTGCTTACACATGTGAAATGCCTAGAGGAGGAGTGATGGCTGTACTAGCGTATGTCACGTAGGCTTTGCTCTTTGTCCCACAGGAATTTGGAGAAGGGAAAGCTCACTGTCGCCCATAGCATCAGGGAAGGTTTGGAGCTCAGTCTCAAAGGATGGGTGGGACAGAGGGGGAAATAGAGGGTTTATTCCTGACAGGCGTAGCATCCTGCAGAGATCCATCAGATGTAAGTATCTTGCCGTAGAGTTATTTTTATTTAAATATGAATCAGCAAAAATCATTTGGATAAGAGATCTTACTTCTGAGAGGTGATGGAGAGGTGAGGAAAGAAGGGGCAGGCTGGGTAAAAGCCCACGTCTCCTAGACAGGGGCTGCAGGCTTGAGGCCGGCCTGCAACACCGTGGGCTCCTCTCCAAGAAAGAACGGGGGAGAAAGAGACTTAGGTATCTGATTTCACCCAAAGTATGAGTTCCCCGAGGCTTTAAGGTGAGTGTATTGAGATGACCCAGACTCATTTATGCTGAGATTGTCTCTACATCTTCTTGCTCAAATTCCATCCTCAGAGCTGTAACCCTTCATTAAGTTACCTCTATACCAAAAAGCAACCCTCTTGGACAATCAATAAGTTAAGCCGTTCTCAATCTCAGGTCCAGCTAGATTTGATTAAGTTTCTAAGGTCAGGTCCTGGGCGCATATTTTCAAAAGGAGATAGCAATATCCGCCTGCACTATGAAACGGTGCATGGTAAGGGGCGAGAGTAAGGGCTAGTTCTGCACCGCTGCAGTCCACACTCAGCAACTAGAGCCTGATTCCTTTCCAGCGAACCCCAAAGCCCACACACCCTGCAGGGCACTGAGCCTGGTGTGGCAGGTGCTAGGTGGAAAGAGCGTGAGTTCGCCAGTGAAAGATCTGGCTTTAAATCCTTGGTTGTTTTTATCTTGGGCCTTATGGAGCCAATTTCCTCACCACGACCACAGGCTTAATGATAAGAGCAGCTTCCCAAGAGTTGCTGAGAATATTACGTAAGAATGTATGTAAACACTCCAGCAGGTAAAGGTGCCCTGTAACTGTCAGCTAATAATCGTCACTCGTCTACTTACGGTGCCTGGATCCCCTGTCTTGCCAAGTTTGGTCAGGAGGGTGGGAAGGAAGGACAGGGTTGGCTTGCTTACCGCCTTGGTGGCACTTTTTGAAACAGCCCACGGGCCCTGGGCCAGAACCCAGCCGGCTGCTGGCTCCCTGGCTTCCTCTCTCCCCTGCTCCACCCACGCTCCCCTCCCTCCCCTCCCCTCCCCGGGAGCAACAAGTTCTCTTCCCGAGACCCGCCCACGCGCCCCTGGCAGACCCGGCGCCTCCTCCTAGACCTCTGACAAAACGCGCTGTCAAACCCACCTCGGGGCGAAATCTCGGCTGCCAACGCCCTGGGGAGGCGGGAGAGCCCGCCGCCAGCCAAGGAGCCCCCCCCCCCAGGCTGGGGG